GTGCCCCGGCAGGGGAGTGTCCGGCAAGCCGGGAAGGGGCCCCGGCCAGGCTGGAGGTCCAGGAGGAGGGGGCTGGCGGGGTGAGGCTGACGGCCCAGCAGGGGCTCACTCAGGCCTGGGCTGGGAGCCTGTGTGGCCACAGCCTGTGCCACCCCTCCTGCCGGCCTGTGTCCTGGGTCCCATGGGCCTCCAGACCCCAGGCGGCCACCTGCCCCCAGGGTAGCCAGATTGCAAGTGGACCAGCCACCCCGTGCCGCCTTCGGGAGCCTGGGGACAGCAGGAGGCACCATAGTCAGAGGCCTCAAGTCCGGCCTGGGTGGGTGGTGCTGCCTGCGGGCTGCTGCCCACTGCACTGGCTGTCTGGGACCTGGCTCCAGCCCTCCCGCACCTGCCTGCACCCTCCTGGTCCCTCCCTGCCAGCCCGGGCACCAACTTTCTGCCGTGGCATTTGGGGCTCAGGACAGGAGGGTGGGGCGCAACTCAGGCCTCTGTCTGGCAGCTACTTCTCCTCTGCTTTCCTTATGCTTGTCCTTTTTGGCAGCCGCCTCCAGTGGTGGCCCTGCCCACCATGGCTGTGCGTACTGACCCAGTGGGCTGGGTGGGGTGTGGTCACCGCCTCCTCCTGCCCCTTGGCTGTACCTGGTGGGGAGCCGGAGGGCCATCGTGGTGGGGCCCTGGCCCTAGGTGGCCAGCAGCCAGGAGAGTGGCCAGTGTGGGCCTGGGACCAGCGCCCTGGCCGCTCCCCGAAGCCCAGGACCAGCTGCAGAGTGGACTGGCGAGGCCCCTTGCGGCTGCCTGCTGGTGTGGACAGGCTGCGGGCTTGGTGGGCAACGTGGGTGATCTTGACTCTCTCATCCTCTTCTCTCCTGCGGCTGCCTCGGCCCCTCCCCCCATCTCCCTTCTCAAAGGATGGCAGGTGCCGCTGCCCAGGGGTGAGTGGGCGCCGGTCTGCTCTCTCCTGTGGTGCGTGGAACAAGGGGACAGCGGCTCTGGTCCCTGCCCCAGGCGCAGTGTCTGCACGCTTGTCTCACCAGGCTCACCAGGGCCTTCCTCTCCTGAACTCGGGCCAGGTCTCTCGCCAGCCAGAGCGGAGGTGGGCCAAGGCCTCTGTCGCCTCCCACCCCAGCCTGGACCTGCCGGGCCCTTGTGCATGTCACGAGCTGGCCCAGGGGTCTTAGATGCAGCTGGCGTCCAACCGTGGCCACACGCCAGACCCCATGACAGCTTGGCAGGGGGGG